ATTGTCGACTGATCCATGCGGGTTGCTGGCCCTGTTCAACGGTGAGTGTTAGTGTGGCTGTATTCGGCATGCGGTATGCCGTTTTCCGATTGGATCGAACCCCTTTCAACATCGCAACGCAAACTGCAGGTAACAGAGACGTTTGATGCATTCGGCTCTGGCACAACCATATCTTCTGTGGTGAACGTATCTTGGATATGTACACTAACCTGTACATATACGAATCCCACATATAGATCGTTCAATGTCTGTGAAGGTTGAACACATATGATGCTACCGCCACCTCATTCAGGTGTCTATGAGTAATCCTATATGTGTTCCGACAGTCCGGCCAGTGCTACTGTAAGCGATAGAGACATTAGACACGTGCAGAAGGTAAATAAAGACTATCGGAGTTCGCGTAGCAGTTCCCGAGCAGTGCCACGTTTAGATCAGAGGCATTTAATTTGGATAATTGAGTACAGATACAATCGGGTGATCGTTATAAATTACTATGGCGTTTCATCGAATAGGCAGGCTTCTTTGAGATGTAATATTTGCCCACACAGCTAGTGAGGCGGGAATTTCAAGCCTAGTCGGACTATTATCTACGATGAAGGCACATAATCTGTGATCAGGGTCTCCAAGCTATTTTTTGCTAAATTTAATATAAGAGGTCTAAACGAATGACATCGATGTGTACCAAATTGTCTCACGACGAATGTGGATGACGTATAAATGAAAAACAAAACATAGTGCGTGCCTGAAAAGTTGCTGTTGTTCTAACTGATGAAATTTATGAAAACTGATAAGTTTAGGAAATGGTAGCGTTCGTACATTTGTTCTATCTCTGTACTAATATATTTTCTTTTGTTGCATACTTTTTTGTGCTGGGCATTTTTCTATTCGTTCCGAATCTCTCTTCTGCCTTAGTTGACCGGCGATCGATCAATATTGACGGAGATATGGCGCATTCGCACTGGGGATTGTTCAGATTGAAATATAAACATTTTCGATTACTATCATCTGTACAATGTGTCTTACTTCCGCATTATCCGAAAATCTCATCCGTTTTTCTCGGTCTAGTTGAATATGTCGCCGATTCCTCCCTTTTCGTTTTGCGTCCTAAGGGCAATTTACTGGCTCGAACGACCAAGTGTCACGATTGATGGAAGAAAAAGCCGGTGCTGAGTCCCAAGTTGCCTTTCTCAACTCCATCATTGTGGATTTGCACGAAAAAAATCGCGAATTAGAAGAACGTGTGCGGGATATGCTGATGGTGGATAACATCTCTCGGTCAGTTCGTCCTAATTGGTACCCATATGATTACAATGTTATCACATCTCTTTGTAAAATCCCAGTTTTTCCCAACCTGCTCGTTTCCGATTTTGCATCACCCGTTTAGTGCACGTTTATCCGAATTCTTATTCGTGCATAGATCTGGCGGTGGGATATCTTCTCTTTAGAGTACCCCGGTCATTGTGTGCACATTTTCACAGCATCAAATTCTCCATACTTCCATTATGAAGCTCTCATACGTTGTGCCCACAACTTCTGCGTGTGTGATAATCATACGTGCACACGATGTTTTGTGTTGTTGATTTTTTTCTACCACATTTCAGACCGCAAGCACATCCACCGGTTGCAAATCCTCGTCCACCACGACGTTGGTGTGACAATTGCCTCGTGTTCGATAGTCACGAAACAGAGCATTGTCCGAACAAACTAGAACACAATGGGAACGGTTTCAAGCCCCGGAAAAAGCTGAGCGCATTGGTCGGACAGCAACCCTCAGATCGGATTTATTGTGACATTTGCGGTGTTTTTGATAGTCACACGACCGAAAATTGTACGGATACCCAAACATTTTAATCGCACCCGGTTGCATCCTCTTGATCACACTCTCCTCGGCCGTGTTCCGATCGTGAATTTTTAGCGCTCACTCGTGCGCGTACGCTTGTGTGACCTCTGGTCTGCACAAATTCAGTTTTCTGTCCACAGCTCAGTCTTTCGTTCAGTTTTGCAAACCGATCAACGAGATTGACTCATCAGTTCATTCGGATCCAAGTGCTTCCATTTTGTTCGTCATATTGCACATAGTCTATATATTTGCCCGTTTTCTTTTTGAAATTCAGCTCTACGCACCACTGTTAGCGTTTTCTTTGTACTCATGAGAAGGTGAGACGAGAGAATGAGGTCCGTGTGGGACGGATAGGAAGATGGGTTGAACTGATATGAACTCCCTGGTCTCCGTGTGGTGCATTCCTTTAAAGATTTACTGACGTATTGCGCCAAACACATTTACACACGAAAGCCATAATTGACTATATTTCCGACTGTACTTTGCTTTGCAGAACTGCATTGTGAAGAAAGTACGTGCTCATTTGTCCTGTTATATCACTCACATGCAACTCATTGTAATTTACTGAACATTATTGTTATTATTATTATTATTATTACTACTACTACCACTATCACTTTCAGTTATTCCTCTTTTCCTTGGTTTGTAACAGTCATACACTCTTTCTCACCCCGTGCCTCTCCTATTGGATCCACTCTGTACGAGCGTTGTTTTATTCTTCCTGTCATATTCATTAGCACTCCTCAGTGTTGCACTGACAGTGGTGGGAAGAAGGCAAATGTTTCTGTGCACCCTTTAAACAGAACATGCATTTCATCGGATGTGATTCTTTCTAACCTTTTCCCCGGATCAAGTTCAAATCGTCTGTTGGGTTTCTATTTGGGACCACAAGCACCATTTCGCCAGGGATCTTCGTTAGTGCTCCTGGGCACACGCAAATCGGATCGAGTTCTCCTCGCCTCACATGACATTTTTAGTTATTGTCTCGGAGTTCTCTTGTGACCAGTTTGATTGCCTAAGATCCATCCTACAATGAGATTAACCGGTCCGTCACCAGCGTTGTTCGTCCTTGTTACTTAGACTGAATAGCCTGTTGCCAAATTGATTGACTAGCTTAAAAATTAGATTGCAAATATTTCATTACCAGCCAGTTGTTCGATGAGAGTTTAGGAATACCTATTTACTAACGTGAGTCGCTAAGTTATTTGGGGTCACGCGGAGATTCCTACATGGTTGCTTCCTTTGCTGACTGGTGCGGTGGATATTTGAGTAGACAGTGTTGGTTGTTTACCGTCGATCCATCGATCTGGTGTCCTCCCTTACCTTGTCGTAAAGTAATCCCAAATTTTCCCCCTGTTATTCGCGTTGATGGGTCCTTAGGTCACATGACAAAGTTTATGTTGTTTGAAAGACTATTCAGTTATGTAACCTGCTTTGAAAAACCTTCTTGATTGTTTCATGCGGGCTAGATCGATACCGTTTTCAAATTTGACGGCGTCTGTTTCTTGATCCTCATTGGTGCGTCACGTCTCTTAACCGACTGATGCCCGAAATTCGAATGGGCATGCATCGAGTGACCATCGTTTGCTTTCTACAAACTTTTAAGCCACTAAGGAAATGTCTGAGCACGACCACCCTTTCACGAAGGCACCGGTTTTAATCCAGTGGACTTTCCAGTTTCGAGTATCGTACTCTGTCTGCAAACCGAAACACTTCATATCAACTTTGATTGTGGTTTCTGCTGTGACAGCTCCACAGTGGGTAGTGCCGGTGTGATGCTGTTTTAGAATTGGTTATACAGACCCTGCTCGAAACACATACGTGTGAACTTGATTCAATGTTTCTTCGGCATCTTGACATTTAAACTTGTGTAACCCTACAGTAATAGTGTAAGTAGAAGTGGTCGCATTCGATATTCTATTACGTCAGTTGATCTTTAGTATTCGTTTATCAATCGCCAAATCTTTTCAAGTATCATTCAAGGAGACGAGTGTGATCGCTGGTAAAGATATCAAGGCACCTCAAAAGACATGAGTCCCCTAACAGTGCGAAAGCGTACATGTATTCGATTGATTGTATACAACTGTTAAAGTGGAACATAGTTTCTGAGGCTTGATTTTCCATCTCTTAGCTACTACATTCGAAAGACTCAGCAGATAACTAGAACATCTTGTGAAGTAGATACCATGTGGGCGAATAGATACAAGAACTGCACTAAATGCGGCATTTATCCTTTGGTACAAAGGCAGGTTGAGTCTGGTGAACCACAATTTTTCGAGTATTTCATACCGTGTCATACAGGCATCTTCAAGAGTACATTCAAACATCTATGAACACTCAAATAGATAGTTGCATGGAAACTAAAGCAAAAAAGTTTTTTTAATAGGAATGAGTGCTGTTTGGGTCTGCATCACAAGTTTTTGGTTGAAATATGAACAAATGAGAAAATTTGGAACAGCCATATAGCCATTTTGCCAAAACTCATATTTTTAAGTTGTCTCAGCCAGTGGAATTCGAGGCGGTATATTCCTCAGTAAGGGAGTAGAGACGCGCACATACCAGTCATTTCAATTTATCCAGGTTCTTTTTGCTGTCGTAGCGTGTCCTCTGCAAGCTTTATTCCTTACGTGACCATCGCACACGAACATTTTGAAGGCAGTTGCTTCCTTTACTTTGCAGGTAATAAAACCATTTGAAAAGAAGAAACAGTTAAATGGTCACTTCATATTTTGATAACATGAACAGTAGTGAGATATCCAAATTATTAAGTAATCCGACAAAATCAGAATTCAAATGCAATTATCCAGATGTAAGGGGACGTTTACAGAAATTCGGCATGTAACTGTTCTATCATCACATGGAAGCACTGATCAGTGCCAACTCAATGGGTTCCATATCAACAGATGGCAACATAAAAGTTAGCCAAGGTAACTACAGGCAAGCAGAAATTGGTATGCAAAATTGTCCGATGGTCATTGGGTGCACACATTTAGCTTATTCGCTAGCTGGTTACCTCAGTTTTACTCTGAGCCCTTATCTGTCTCCGATCACTTGCTCGATTAGCAGTTGTGCAAACATTTAGCAAACGATCATTCGTGTGTGACGCTTTGACAGGAAAGATCAGTTTATCTGGAGCCCATTGCTACGGCAAGGAGCACCTAAGGATACATTGATCAAAGCAATTGTGGAACAAAAATGAAATGAGTATCTGAGTTCACAGATATGATTAAGAGATAGTTTGCTTTCTATATAACCGAGGTCAGTACACGTCGTAGACGTACAGCGATAAACAGCGGAGAAAATCCTCCGTGATCAGTTAGACAATGTTTCCTGAACCAAATTCGGTTCAGATTTTCGAAAGTTTATTCTGTCGTTTCAGTCAGCAGGATGATCAATAAATCCCCAATTCTGTGTCCACCTTCCCAAGCGAAAAAATGGTATCACATACTGAAATTGAATCCCCGTGTTTGATAACAAATACGGATAACCCATCTGATTCAGCAGTCCGGTGCCATTTACCTTTTTTAATTCTTACTTTTATTGAATGTATGGTGATACAACTTTCAGGAAGTGGGAAGCGGCCAATCAAAGGGCTGCCATACAACACATAATGGGAACAGTCAGGTGTTAATGATGAGATTCGAACATACGTCCTTGGGGTCACCACCATCAGTCTGATAATCTTTGTAGTGAGCAGGTCGGATATTCATCTGTGATACTGTTTTTTTTTAAATTTTTGGTGATAGCCACATCATTCTTCAGGAAATCTTGCTCGTATCTACAACCGTATTTCTGTGTATACGGTGGTGAAAGGTTTACTCCTGTATTTTCTAATGTAAACCCGACTTTCCGAGACAGATTAGGCCAGGATCGGCAGAGTAACTGTACAAATTCCTGAGGACAATGATTTAAAAATCGAGTTACTGACCGCTTCGGTTGGCACTAGATTATGTTCATGAATGGTTTCCGGAAGACTCGATGGTACTCTTTGTGTCATCCACAAGGAGTCATATTGGTGTTGGCAAAGTGAACCACAGTTGCACTTGAAATGGTTCTTCTCGTGACGTTTAGTGTTCCTTAATTCTTGGCGATTTCTGTCCACTGTTTTACCTACCAATCTTCACAAGTATGAGCAGAGAAAACAGTCAGCCATCACTTAACCGGCGATTCATGTTCCTTGTTCACGGAACTCACCAATTGGTCTACATATCTGGTGTATATAAAGCCAAAGGGAAGGTTGGAGTAATCACCCTTTCTAAACGTCGCTTCTCTAATTCGCTATCATAATTGAACTAAGAAATAAAGCTCTGTTCCAGTTGCCGTGGTGTGATATTCGACATTTCTCTGGAAAATTATTAATTCTTGATAGTCATCGCGCAGAAGAAATCTATTACGGTTTTCTTACTTATGGTTGAGCCTATCTTGCGAGTGGGTTCCTCCAACTTCTTTCGGAAGGGATTAAATCAGGATCTATTAACATTTATTCAGTACGGATTAGGTAAAATATTTCTACTCTGTGGTCCTATTTGGTTTTAGTATATCGATTGCTTGTAACTATCATGATCAAATCATATCAAGGAATGGAACCCGTCTTCCAGATATGTTTCTGATGCGAAGTTTATGGAACTCTGAGCTTTGTTGAATGTTTCTAACAACGGGGGTTTGGAGTTGCCGTTTATTAGGATCAACATTTTATCCCATAGATATATATAAATATATACACGTATTATCGTTTGACAACGAGTCCTAGTCTTGATCGAAACGTCACAATAAATACTACCGCTCATTGCTCGCCTTCTCCTTTTCACTATATATATATATATATATATATATATATATATATATATATCCTCAACAGCGCTAGGGAAGCAATGGTGTCGCAGATCTCCTTATTCTCAAGCCACTCAAAGAGGACAGTTACCTAAAAGAAGTCCCGCTGTTTATCGATTTGTATCTTCATCGAATTGAATTTGGACGTGACAATTTACCATCCATTAATAAATAGTTCCAC